GTAGAGCAGTTGATGTCATCTACCTGGACTTGTGTAAAGCGTTCGACACTGTCCCACACGACATCCTTGTCTCTAAATTGGAGAGACATCAATTTGATGGACGGACCACTCAGTGGGTAAAGAACTGGCTGGATGGCTGCACACAAAGAGTTGTGGTCAATGGCTCAATGTCCAGCTGGAGACCAGTAACGAGTGGTGTCCCTCAGGGATCGATGTTGGGACCGGTCTTGTTCAACATCTTCATTGCTGACATGGACAGTGGGATTGAGTGCGCCCTCAGCAAGTTTGCTGATGACACCAAGCTGTGTGGTTCAGTTGGTACCCTGTAGGGAAGGAATGCCATCCAGAGGGACCTTGACACACTTGTGAGGTGGGCTGATGCCAACCTCATGAAGTTTAACCATGCCAAGTGCAAGGTCCTACACCTGGGTCGGAGCAATCCCAGGCACAGCTACAGGTTGGGCAGAGAAGAGATTCAGAGCAGCCCTGCGGAGAAGGACTTGGGGGTGTTGGTTGATGAGAAAATGAACATGGGCTGGCTTCAGTGTGTGCTCGCAGCCCAGAAAGCCAACGGTATCTTGGGCTGCATCAAAAGGAGTGTGACCAGCAGTTTGAAGGAGGTGATCCTGCCCCTTTACTCTGCTCTCGTGAGACCTCACCTGGAGTATTGTGTGCAGTTCTGGTGTCCTCAACATCAAAAGGACATGGAACTGTTGGAACAAGTCCAGAGGAGGGCCACGAGGATGATCAGGGGACTGGAGCACCTCCTGTATGAAGACAGGCTGAGGAAGTTGGGGCTGTTCAGCCTGGAGAAGAGCAGGCTGCGTGGAGACCTCATAGCAGCCTTCCAGTATCTGGAGGGGGCCTATAGGGATGCTATAGGGATTCATTAGGGACTGTAGTGGTAGGACAAGGGGTAATGGGTTCAAACTTAAACAGAGGAAGTTTAGATTGGATATAAGGAGGAAATTCTTTCCTGTTAGGGTGGTGAGGCACTGGAATGGGTTGCCCAGGGAGGTTGTGAATGCTCCATCTCTGGCAGTGTTTAAGGCCAGGTTGGATGAAGCCTTGGGTAAGATGGTTTAGTGTGAGATGTCCCTGCCCATGGCAGGGGGGTTGGAACTTGATGATCTTAAGGTCCTTTCCAACCCTGACTATTCTAGGATTCTATGATTCTATCGCTTGCTGAGTAGTGGGAGGAGAAAGGGATCTTAGATGCTTTTTCATTGCAAGTGAGACCTACTGAATCCTGCCTGAAATCACAGAGATTCTTTAAATGTCAGGACAGCTGTTTCCTCTCATTCAGTGCAAAAATCTTGCACGCTTACACTAACATCCACCCTGCACCCCTTTATGTATGAATTCAAACATCTGGGGCACTGAGGTTACTTCTTCCCCTTTCTGTTGACAGATGATGCATTCATGGAATAATAGAATGGTTAGGGTTGGAAAGGACCTTAAGACCATCTAGTTCCAACCTCACTCTAGACCATGTTACCCAAGGCTCTGTCCAACCTGCCCTTGAACATTGCCAGGAGTAGAGCATTTACCACTTCCTTGGGCAACCCACTCCAATGCCTCACCACCCTCACAGTAAAGAACAAGAATTCTTCCTTATATCTAACCTGAACTTCCCCTGTTTAATTTTGAACCCATTACCCCTTGTCCTACCACTAAATTCCCTAACGAATAGTCCCTCTTCAGTATCCCTGTAGGCCCCCTTTAGATACTGGAAGGCTGCTATGAGGTCTCCATGCAGATTCTCTTCTCCAGGCTCAACAGCCCCAACTTTCTCAGCCTGACTTCATATGGGAGGTGCTCAAAACCCCTTATCACCCTTCTTAAGGCCTGAAAGAGCAGCTATAGCTGAGTTTCTGAGGCAGTCACACAATAAAAGCAAAGCTGATGAGACAGAAAGGCAAAACACGGATAAGCATTCCAAGGGCAGAACTCAATTACTAACATAGCCGTAACATGCCTAAAACCTGAACGTCAAAATCTGTTTTTCACTGACCTTAAATTAGAAAAAACAACAATAAGCATAATCTGATCATCGTCATCATAACTGTCCATTCAATTCTCCATAATCAGTACTGTGAAACTACTTGAGCCTGAATTGCTTATTTGTCCTTGTTTTACAACAGCGTAACTCCACTGGTGCCAAGTTGAAATCTGAAGTACATCTGTCAAAGACAGTTTAGGTTAGGTCAAAGAATGTTTAGCCTGTACCAGCTGTATCCGCCTCTATTTCTGTTTCTGGAAGACTTCATCTCAGTCAACTGCACACATGCCAGAAATAAAATTAATCAAAAGCACATGGGAACTCTGCGTAAATACAAAACTGAACCTCATTTATTGTAGCTTCTTATACATTAATTTTCTCAACATCCACTGGGAAAACATAATGGGGTACATGCTGCAGGAAATCACATCAGTGATTCTCTCGCCAGAGTAATCTTTTCTGCCTCAGTCTCTTCAGAATCATATGGACAAGAAGTATAATTCAGGGCTAAGAATCCAGACTGCAGCATGGAATGAGATTGTAAAAAACTGATGTCCTGCCCTTTGCACTGTAAGCTTCCTTTTTTTTTCTGTACACACTGCAAATTAAACAAGCTTTATAAAGAAAACATACCCTACAGCTGCACAGACTTAATGCTAACTGCATTGAACTGATCATATGGCCACTTCTTCACTTAAAAAAGAAATACATGTATACACACAACTATTTTATGTATATGTAGAAGCAAGCTACCTAATAAGTTCAATGGAAAAATACATGTAAAGGCTTTTTATAAAACTGACACATTATTTTCACTCTAATGAAAATATTTATGAGAGAAAGACAGACACAGAGAAACACACATACCTAAGGTCTAGTGCGTGTCTAAATCCTGAAAAGAACTTGGTTCTTCTTCAACAGAGTTAGTTGCAAGTGTTTAAAGGACCTGCAGTCCCAGCTTACAGCCTCTGCTCCTCCCTGTCTGACTGTATGCTGATGACCATTTTGCGCAGGTTTTGCTGGCTGCAAGTTTCCACAGCAGTTTACAACCCGGCAGGGAAACAAAACAGGGCTAAATCCGACCTTCATTGAATTAAATTGAGACTATTCCACCGCCTTTAGTTGACTGAATGTTATATAAAAAACTGATTTGCTGTCAAAGCAATGGCCACCCAGCAGTAAAAGCTAACTGTAACTAATGAACAAACCATGGAACCCCTATGGCAGTTCCTCAATTGCCCGGCTTGGATAAGTCATAAGAAACGGACATCGCTTTTTGAAGCAGTGAGGGAAAAACATACCACAGTCTGCTTCTCCAGGAAACTTCTGTCATATATATACACCTTGTTTCTCACCGTATCTTCATTTATCCTTACTCATACATTCAACCTGGTGCAAAACTAGACTGAGAGGCAGCTTCCACAGTTGCACCCTTTAAGCTGCAGCAGCAGACCAAATCAACCTTGCAGTAGAAGTCTCTTTTCTACATGTTTCTGGATCAATGCAATATTGGCCATTATGGGAAAAAGCAAAACACGCAGCAGATGTAAGATAAAGTGAAAAATACATGCCTGTCAGCTGCTGGCAATTGCCACAGAGTTATATGCTTCCAATACTCATCCTCTCCATTCAAAATAAAGACATATGGTAACCTTGTTAATATCAAAATATTAGCTAGTGATACTTCCAGTGACAAAACCATACCTCTGATCCATAGTATCTGAAAATGTTCACAGAGACAGTGTGTATCAAAAAACCTTCAGGTTACAACTGCGGACTGAATGCATGCCCTTCTTACAAAGAGACGCACACGGATTTTGTTACACTATCCAAGCAAGTTCTGCTGTACTATGTCCTTCAAGGAATATTTTGTTTGTTACAAACCTCGAGTAATTGCATTTGAAGCAAGAAACAAGAGAGCAGTTTTAAAACTGGTGCCTATGAGTTCCTATAAATACCCTGGGAGAAGAAAACGTCAGAAATCCTTGTCCCAGCCTGAAAGTTCATCTGGAGGGGTTCCCTCTTCAGGTGGATAGCTGTCAAAGTAGCTGTAATCAGTTGGTCCAGACAACTAGGACATTAAAAACACAAACAGAACTTTGTTTCAGAAAGTAACTTTTGAAAATACTCCCCGTTGATTATGCATTATTGCTACCAGTGGAAGAATTAAAGGCTATGGATAATTTCTGTCAACGGATGCAATTCCTCATTCTAAACCACCAGTAATGGAATTGTACAACAGAACAATGGCATTAGCATCCTTACACAGAACCACTCCCCAAATATTACCAAATCCTAGATTTTGCCCACAGCCCTATAAAGTCAGTAAGAAAATTGGCCACACTGCATACAATTTTGATTCAGATTTGTTTTAAGACCAAATCAACACCCATGGGGTAGCTGCTGAAAGCAGACTTCGGAATTATTTTTTGTTTCAAATTGTATTCAAAGTGAGTTTTGAATTCTTCACCCTCAATCTTTTTTTCATTTTAGGGCACAGAGAAACTGGCTGTTTAAAATAGGAAGCTTATTCAATGACGTTCTGTAACTTGATAATAAGAGAATACAGGAATTTTCACTCTGCACAGTAATGTGAACAGTGCATTTTAATAATGTGTCCATTACTGAGGAAAACAGCTCTTTTCAGTATTTGTTTCTGACCAGACACTATTTATTCTAGTAATGGTGAAAATCTAATGCAAAGTACACAGGCAGAATAATATTTCCATTATTTAATTGATGTATCAGTTGCTGTCTCTCTTTCATTCCACTAAAAATGTTGAGCTATAATAATTCAAATGCACCTCTGGGAAATTTTGCTGTCACCATCAATTGTTTCTTTGTAGAGAAGCACCTTTATGTTAATTAAAACATTATGATATTGAAAGTCAAAGCCAATACCTCTCTTTTTAAAGGTGATATTAATTTCCTCACTTTCAGACCATCCCAGTTAAAACCACTCAACCACCTGATTAAAAAGAAATGAGAGACAGGGAGAGACCAAGAGAAAGATTGTTTTCTGTCACTATACTGTTTACAGCTGAAAAACATGTGAACAAGGGCTATAAGACTTTTTTTTTCATTACAACTTCTGCCCATGTGATAACACAGTTGTTGAAAAGAGGAAACTTGAGCACTGTCATTGTCATACAAGGGAGTGGTAGCAGGGGGAGCTTCAGGACCACTAGGTGCATTGCATCTCATCTGCATAGAGGTGCCAAAATGACAGGCAGGTTAATATATGCGTAAGCACAGCCATGCAAAGATATGCACCCCTTTGGATTACCACCCTCTTTTAACAGTATGAGAGGAGACAAGTAGAAAAGACAAAGCACTTCTTTTACCAAGCACAAATGGCAGGGCTTAGAAACAACTCAGATAAAAAGAAAAAGCAGGAAATGTTTAATCCAAAGAGGGGTTTCTTCATTAGAAGAAAGAAGATGAAACCCTAATATTACTCCAGAACTCTTAACTGCCATTCTTCAAAAGCAACTATTTATTAGTTAGGAGGTCTGAAAGATGCTGAACTGGCATCAATTTCTCTGAGAACTGAGTTAAACTCCTACATGGACAGCCCACAACAAAACCAGTAAATAACAAGATGTTTCAGATAATCATGCTGACGATTTATATTCTTGCCTGCCCTAGTCACAGATACACTCAATAGCAACAGAGATCGCTCTGATGCAATCTGCCTGGAGCTTTATGGGTTCACTGGACAAATTAAACCCCAAATTTTCTTGGCAGCCTCTTTCACTTACCTATGCTTCTTAATGTCATTAATTCCATTCCTCAGGTTGCCTAATCTTTCTGTAGGGTTTTGCCTTAAAAAAGAATAAGGATTATTTTTTAAAGTATTCTCTTTTACTTTTTTTTTAAAGAGCATTTATAGGTCCTAACTGCTTGCATTTAAGTTACACAGGGATGAAGCTTGCACACAACATGTGGTCTTATGAGGAAACTTAATGAGGTGTTGCTCAGCGCTCCTTTCTTTTGAGGATGGAGAAACCTTCCAGGAAGCCACAGTGGTGTCACTACACTGTGAGCAGCGCAGTGAGTAATCAACTGGTTGAATTTTAGTTGCTCAACTCCTTTTTCTTGGCCAGTAGGTCTGGTCATCAGTTACAAAGGATGCAGACCAAAATTGGCAGTTACAAAGATCCTTTCAATCCCACTGCATAACCATGGTGTATACTGTTTCTCGTGCCATGGATGAAATTCCACTGAAGCTGCGGGTTCAAAGTCAGCGGTACTGCCAGCCACAGGTTATGCATGCTGCTATACACTAATGCTTCTGCTTTATGCTGTCCCTTTTGAAATACCACCTTTTTGCACATTTTCAAGCAGGCTTAAGTCAGTCTTTTAAGCATCCTACCCTTTCTGGAGCAGTTACATGCCTAAGTCATTTTGGGAGCAATTTTCAAAACACAGTGTTTGATAATAAAGTTAAATTCTTTATCTCTTTCCTCAGCCCAGACTTAACAACTTTCCCCTAAGATATGTTTCAAAAATAATTCACAGGTACAGAGAAAGCCCAGAGCCTATGTCTGCAGACTATGAGGTGTGACACACAGTCAGAGGCATGCAAGTGCACTGAATATAATCAGAACAGACTATGCTAGGCACCAGAACAATTGTAAATGAAATTGTCAGGAATTCAACAGTCTAGACTGGATCTTAAATCATTCCATCTAGCTATACTCCGGCTCTGCCACAAAGTGCACCTCCTACCTGCAGAGTCTGCGGATCAAATCCTCAGGCCGCCTTGTTATTACCTTAGGAAAATCCAGCTTTTCAATGCCTTTGAGAATCAAATTATATGTCATCATTTGATCTGCCCCAGAGAATGGTGGGCTAGAAAAAGAAAGCAACACTGATAAACGGGATGGCTGGCAAGAGCAGATGTGGCCATTTCTCATCAAAGCATATGTTTGAGAACATGGAAAAACCCCACCTCCCTAGTTTTACAGCCTACAGCCTTTCAGTCTGTTTAAGATATTAGAAAGGTTTGAAGCTGAAAAGCTGCCTGTAAGTACCAGGGAAAATGCATGATTATATGTGTCCCTCTGAGACAGACTGCCAGCCTAACTCAGAGAAGCTTCATGTTGTACTACTGCTGAACATTCATAAGGAGTTGACGTGGAAGTTGTATGGAGGCAAAGAATGAGCCCTGCTTATAGTTCATCAACCCCACTGTATCCCATCATCCACTAACAGGGAAAAGAACAGCCTGCTGTCAGCTGTTCCTCACAGGAAGCATCATCAGGTAAAGGAACTATACACCAGCCACTTATAGCCATTGTCTGCCTCCTTCCTTGGATGGGTAAACCAGAATTGAGAATATGTCCTATGCTTTGTGGTGTTTCTGAAACGATGGAAAACATGCATAAGAGGCAATAAGAAGTATTTTGCAAGTCATTTCTGTTTGCTGATGGGAAAAACCCTAAACTATTTATTTTAAAAATAAATAAATTAGAAAAAAATTCTAAAAACAAGCAAGTGAGGTAAAAGCTTGGAATAGGAGGCACTTACCTGCCAGTAAGGAGTTCATACACAAGAATCCCAAGGGACCAAAAATCCACACTGAAGTCATGGCCCTTACTCAGAATGACTTCAGGGGCAACATACTCAGGGGTTCCACAAAACGTCCAGGTTTTCTGCCCTGATCCAATCTTCTTTGCAAATCCAAAATCAACCTGATCAAAATCAACATATGCTGCATAATGCAGAGGTGTTTTGCACTGGGAAACCTTAGGTCTTAATTGCTTCCTCACCTCCTGAAAAGATCTCAAGAATTGCCAGTGTACAGCTAAAGCAATTACACAGTGTTGTGAAGGAGAAAGAAGTAATTCCACTGGTTTACTGAATGTTATAGAACAGATTCATTTATTCTCATGGGTAATTTCCTGAATTGTTTTTCTTTTGGATAGAACAATCTATGCTTTCCTTGAGGACTCATGATTTACAGCCCATGGAAAATGGTTCATTATCCTCAGAGTGGATATTTCAAGCTCTTTGAAGAGTATTCTCTTTGCACTTTCCATGGTGGAACCTGTGATTACTTAAGGCTGGACAGGAAGGTGATTCTGCACCTGGGAAATGTGGTTCCTGCCTTTACGGTAAGATTGGCTGCTCGGAGAAATTACTTTTGCTGTTTATGCTGTGGCAAGAGCCCTCGGAGGCTGCAAATCCCATTTGTCTATGGCTTGCAATGCCTTTGTTTCTTACCGTGCAATGAGTAGCCTGCCCTCTTTTTCCAATGAAGTATAAGGGTTATTAAACTCCGGGATCCTCATACTATAATTACATGGTACCTATTTATATCCCTCTGCAAGGGAACAGGTTACAGGCACAAAAGGATAACATTACAAAAGGATTACATCTTACCAGTTTTATATATCCTTCAGCATCCAAAATTAAATTTTCTGGCTTCAGGTCTCTGTAGATAATCCCTATGTGATGAAGATAGTCAAAAGCCTCTGTCACACACCCAACACAGAACTTCGTAGTGGCTTCATCAAAGCTGCCTCTGGAACAGAAATAATCACTATCCTTGCAGACCAGTAACTTCTAAAAAAGCCCCGCTCATTAACGAGATAACATACATACACCCAGAACATTAACAGCTTTTTTTTGCACTGACATTCAGTACGTCATTCATATAGTTGAAAGCTGAACTAAATGTCTTTTTATCAGCCCTTGAATACAGTACACATATGGAGCTGACTGGTGATTTTAAAGGACAAAATTCCACTTCATTTGCCATTACCTGTCTCTCAGCAAGCTCCACAATTCCCCTCCAAGGCAAGCCTCCAGTAGCATGTACACATACTTACTATCTTTGAATGTGCGATATAGTCTGTAAAGACAAATAGCAGCTATTTAGGAAAAGCAAAATAAAACACAAGGCTTCAATGTCTCTTCTCCAGAACTCAGATATGCCAACCCTCATTCTTAATAACGCTGCCCCATGGGTCAACTGGGGGTCAGCTTTCATGGGAATCTTATGTTCAACTTACTTGACAATGAATGGAGAACATATCTGCTCGAGGATTTTCTTCTCAGAATAGATATGTTCTTGTTGTTTGGTGTCCACTACGTGTTTCTTCTTTATACGCTTCATAGCAAAAGCCATGCTCTCATTTTTCACTTTAACCTGTGAATAAAAATGATGAGTATGTTGAGACAAAGAAAGGATGTTTTACCAATCTGTTCTCAATAGATACAGTGATATCCATCTTTTTCACCACAGCATAGGACTGGAATTGATGACTGTAATGAGGGACAAATGCCAGATTTTCTACAAAACTGTTCTGTATGATTTTAAGTCAAGTCAATCATCAAATCTTTTTAGTGTCCCAGTGGCCACTTGTAAACTGAAATAATCTCTGCGGTCATTTTATGTATACAAAATAGCAGCAGTTTGGATAGGTGCTACATTTTAAAGCTCCTAATTTCAATTTAAGATTTCTAAACAGTAGCATAATACAAAAGAACAAAAAGTAGAGGCAGTTTATGAAGAACATTCACAAATAATTTTGTGTTATACTGAAATATTATCCAGTATGCAATAAAAAGACGGAAGTTAAAACGGGGCTTCCAGAAATCCAAAGGAACAGCTATCAATGTTCTTCAACTGGGTGAGAATTCAAGTCTTAGCTTCCCATTCAGGTGATGCTGTAGAATTTCCAATCTGGCAGTCAATCAATGTGGAAATTTGTTTTGTGAAGCATGAATCACAATAAAATGATTGATGGTCTAACTACTGTAAAGGATTATTGACTTCACTAAAATCACAGTCTCCTTTAATTTACTGTTACTTTCAGCAGCCTGCAGAAGAAGAGTTTTTCTTCATGCTCTCCCCTGAGTTTGCTACTCAGCCAGAAGAGAGTTGAATCTACAAATTTAGTGTAATTAGGCTCTTCACATCCTAGAAACACAGTTGCTCATGCTGTTGAATACCACTCAAAAGGGCCAGTACAAATTGTTGGAAATTTCAAAGTCAATGCACCTCAGAAGCTAGATTACACTGGTTATAGTTGCTGTGGGGCATACCAAAGTAATTCTAACAGCACAGACTATGTCATGCTGGAGATTATTTCAGGTCCAGACAGCATCTTGGGAAAAGACTTGCAATTCAGGGAACACAATGCAGGTAGGCACATCTGAAAACTCCACACACAAAACCTGATGAATATATGTCTAATGACCAGGAAGATACTTCTAAGAGCACGAGATGAAGGCATGCAAGAATGGATTTTTTTTTCCTTTGAACACTGAAGTCCACAAAGTGTTTTTAAACTATACAGAATTACCTCTGTCTGAGAGGCCCAAGTATTCAGAATATTAAAATCTCTCATATTTTTCAGCAGTTAATCATTAAGACAGAGAACTACTTGAATATGTTTAAAACAAACCCTTACAAGCTCAACCCTTCCGAACCCACCAACACCCAGAGTTGTGATAACTTCTAAATTCTGGAACGGGGAAGGAGGGAACTGGGCTACTTTTTCCTTCAGCTCTATCATCTCCAAAGACACGTCTTTGGCCAACTGTCCGCAGAAGGATCTTCCTCTGCATTAAGAGAAATAACATAGGTTAGTGCTTTCCTCGCCAGCAACCTGTATCACAGTACTCTAATACTCCTATAAAAAATAAAAGAAAAACCTTCTTAATTCTTCACAGAACTTAATTTTGTTTTATGCAGAAGCACTTTCTCTCTGGACATTCTATTGAAGTAAATTAGAAACAAAATGCTACTGAAGTTCACTGAGTACAATCAATGGTATTTTTATCAAGATTAGGTTGATTAGGCTGATTAGGTTCCTAATTACAGTCAGCTACAAAACTTGAGGCACTCCAAGTTGAAGAACCAATTTCTGAAGGAGTGTGTACCAGTTCCAGTAGAATGATCAGAAATAAAAATGCAGCTTTATCTGTAAATAGAAGAAAATCATACTCTGCTAATATCCCAGTAGTGCTCAGGTTGAACTCAGAGGCAGATAAAACTACAAATGCAGTCCAGAGCTAAAAAAGGGAACTCTTTAAAAGCACCAGTGCTACACTGAAACATTAAAAATAAATGGCTTCTTTTATGTCTGCTTATTTCTATTTGAAATGGCAATTAGTCTTTTGTACAGTAACACAGTTTCTTTAACTTCATTGGGAGTTGGCCTTTAGGGGTTTTGCCAGCCAAAGAATTTACAATCAAAATGCAAGAAATTATTTGAGCACGTTTTCACTTCTTTTCTGTGCTCAGTTTTCATGGGATAGAGTGAATTCTTGGTTTACAGTCAATAGACTGAGATTGTACGCAATTTTTGTTTTGGAAAAGAAATAAATTATTGGACTCCATAAGCATATCCAGTTATTATTATATTGATTACTTTCATTCCTAGGGCCCCATCTCTATCAACTACCATCCATGATTTTACCTACATATCTATCACTCTTTTTTATGATTACCTACTGAAGATGTGCCTAACAAATGATCTGACTTACTTTGCATGTCGCTTTTCATCAGCGCGGGTCAGATTAGCCACATAACCTTCCAGGTAAGTTTGAAGCTCCTCGTAAGTTCCAACAGTTTGATTAAATGTCCTAAAACCCCAAACAAAACAGTGTAAACCACTGAACACACAGTGGAAAGACAAAAACCCCAGTATCTGTGCTGCTGCACCAAGGCTTTACATTGCCTGTAAGTCATGACCCAGACTGAGCTTTACACTATCACTCTGACAATACAAATTCTAAGAGCTTTGAAGAGGCAGTAACCAGCTGAAGTACCAAGCCTGGTTTACTGAAGTGTAGGGGGACAAAGTACCTGATTTCCTTGGGTCATTTCACGTTATGTTTAAATAATTCGGAGCAGGCTGGGCGTCCTTTGACTTCCACATGCTTATTAAATGTGGTTTCACCATCCCTACCACAGGAACCAGGTTGGCATAAGTCCACACTATCAGTCCTTCCATTCCAAAGGATACGGCACTGTGTACCTAGGGCTCAAGTGACTGAAAACATCTCTGCCTCTTCATAGATAAGTAACAATACTGTAGGCAGAAGAGGCTTAGAACAGTACTAACAACAATCATCTAGTAAAACAATCATCTAGTCCAACTGCCTTACTGGCTGGTATGCTGTGTTTGACACACCCCAGGATATGGTTTGCCCTCTTGGCTGTCAGGACACATTGTTGACTCACCTTGAGCCTGCTGTCAGCCAGCACCCACAGACGTGGTTCTGCAGGGCTGCTCTCCAGCCACTCCTCTCCCAGTCTATACTTGTGCCTGGAATTACTCCACCCCAGGTGCAGAATCTGGCACTTGGACTTGTAAAATTTCATGTCATTAAGGACTGTCCAATGCTCCAGTCTATGTAGATCCCCCTGCAAGGCATTTTGTCCCTCAAGAAAGTCAAAAGCACCTCCCAGTTTGGTACCATCAGCAAACTTGCTAATGGTGCATTCATCTCCTGCATCCAGATCATTGATAAAGATGCCAAACAGAACTGGCCCTAGATTGACCCCTGAGGAAAACTGCTGGTGACCAGCCAGATGTAACCCCACTCACTATAACCCTTTGAGCCCTGTCAATTAGCCAGTTCTTCACCCAGTGCACTGTGAACCTGCTCATCACACAGTTGGACAACTTGTCCAAAAGGATGCTGAGAGGGACAGTATCAAAAGCCTCACTAAAATCCAGAAAAATTGTATCCACGGCCTTCCCTTCATCCACCAGGCAGGTGACCTTGTATTGAACGATACCAAATTAGTTAAACTGGACTCTTCCTTGAGGAGAGGTAACCCAGGTTGACTGTGCCTGATGACTGCATTGTTCTTTAAATGCCTTTCAGTAGCACCCAGTATAATGCTCTCTACAATATTTCCAGGAGCAGCAGTTAGACTAAGGTCTGTAGTTGCTTGGGTCTTCCTTACTGTAACAAGAATTTCCAAGACCTGCTTGTCACAGCAGTATGATATTCCTAGTTCATGTCTGGGACGCTGAAATCTCCTACAAGGACAAAGGCTACCCATCCAGAACTTTTTCATAATTGCCTATTGAATAACTCATCAGTGCTTACATCCTGGCTGAGCAATTGTTAGTAGGCACCCACTACAATATTTCCTTTGTTTTCCATCCCCCTAATCCTCACCCAGAGGCTCACAAACACATCATCACTAACTGTAAGGGTTGTGCAATCAAACCTCTCCCTTTACTGCAGTGCGACACCTCCACTTTGCCGGCCCTGGCTATCTCTCCTGAACAGGCTGTAGCCCTCCATGACAGCACTCCAACTGTGGGCTTCATTTCTCTAAGTCTCACTAATACCAATGATATTGTAGCTCTGGCAACTGACCAGTTCTTCCAGGTCATGCTGTTTTGTTTCTCATACTGTGTGCCACCCTCTGTCAATGCCATGTCAGCCCTTGATTTATCTACTGCAGTCCTGTTGGTATCCCCTTCCCCTAGAATGTACCAGCTTTGGTATGCTTCTCTGCAACCTGTTTAAACAGGCTAAATAAAAGACGACAATGCATTCACAGATCAAGATGCCATTTCCTAAGTAGGGATAGAATCTTGGCCCTCAGCAGGAGCCCGTCTGGGATTCAGCAAGGAAAAGCATGGTGGCTGTCTGCACTTCAGGTAATCATACAGCTAGCTTTGAGAAATACAGGTTTTCATCTCACTTTCCACAGGGAGCTTCTTTTCTTTTATCTTCTGTCTGCTCCATTCTTTTCCACTTTAGGAAGTGTAAAATTCCTAATAAAACCAGGCATTTATCTGCATGTCCTGCTCAGCAAAAGGACATCCCAGAACCAGGGACAGCAGGGGATTTTGATGTTCCCTGAGCCAGTGAATAGTACTTAACAAATGTGAAACCTCAGCACCACAAGGAGAGAAAGAAAAAAGTAACTCTGAACTACTCTGAGCTTCCTTGCTCCTGCATCCTCTGTCAGCTTCTCTTCACAAAGTCTTTGTCTAAAGCATAGCCACAGCTCAGTATCCCAAAAGCATAACCACTCATTCACTATTCATTTAAGAAAACTGTGATTACGCCTACAGCGAAGTCACATCTTACTGTTAACTTACTGAAAGAGAATGCAAATCTTTCATTAAACAGTAGCACAGTACTTACTCTCTATCTATAACGAGGCACTCCACATTGTATTCATCTGCAATAACATTTGCTGATCTGACATCATCACTAAAAATTGAAACAGAAGAATTCAGAAGCATGCAAAAATCCTCAAAGCACCACACACTGTACTCATAGAGGGTCACAGCTGCTATAGGTGACACTCCTCAAAGGCCTCTGCAGCCTGTATTCAGATTAGTATTACTGAACCAAGTACATAATTACAACATTTTACTAGCCATTCTTACTGTCTAGCACAGTATTTGTTTTCCAGTTTCAATAGAGTTTGGATCATGACTTCCTTTAGCAACTTTCCAAGTATTTAGGATGAGCTGTAATTGGCATTACATTTATGATGATCTCAATTACATGAGATGTAATTAGCATTACAGCTTACCTTTCCTGAGATGTAATTAGCATTACATCTAGTAGTATATCAGGATTTACTACTCACTTCTGAAATAATTCTCAGATATAAAGCATCTTAAAGACCTAACAATCCCTACTCCATTACCCACATAAACATGTGCTATATATTTGAACATATCCTCTCTCTTCTCCTTTTCTCTATTTCTTACCATCATTAGCACCATCATGGAAACAACACCTTAATCCGGTAATTATGGTACCTATCCATACTAGGAGTCATATAGAGCCTGGCATAAGGTTTCGTCACAGCTTTTACTGAATTATAAAGTACAAGCAACAACGCAGAGAAGGCTGGCATTTGACTTTTGCAGGGAAAACCAAAGGTAGATGACAGTGTGTACGTTCAAGTTCTCTCTACAAAAACCAAAACATTAAGTCAAATTCAGTCATTGCCTTCATCTGCTGACATCACAATCAAAGCAAAGATTATATTAAAAATAGCCATGAGCTGTATAATCTGACACATAGTGATAGGTCATTTGAAATACCATACATCATGAATCAGACAATGTGAACTAACCTGATCAGAGCCTTTTCTCCAAAGTAATCTCCTTTATAGAGATTTTTAATCAGCTGAGGCTGCGAGTGATCTGCAGTACTCTGGGTAACTATTACCTGGAAAGTACAGGAACAAAAAATCAGTAAGGAAAGTTTCCAAGTATTGCATGGTTTCCCCTTCCCTTCTGAGTATTTCATAAATGTCTTAAACTCAGTAATGATGCAGAAAGAGTTACAAATTTATATAATTAGTCCCTCCTCACAAAAATTAAAACCTTCAAACATTCTATGATTCTGTGATCTCTGAGTTTTGCTGAGATGGAAAAAATAATACATTCATTACTGCCCAATCCCCACATTTTCTCCTCTTATCTTTTAAAACAGAGCAAAATAAATTGCATTTTAATGAAAAACTGAAAAGTGCTTCAGTTCCCACAGCGGGCAGGCATCATATGAGCTTTTTGTCTTCTCCTGTCATTAAATTCCACTTCCACAGTAGCACACATTCTGCTGATGCCACAAACCAAATCAGAATATCTCCAGACACAGACATGTTTTGGAAACTCAAAAACCCAACTAGAAGTTTATTGATGAAAATTCTGATTTGATTCTTTAGAGTCCCGTGTCTGCCTCTAATATAACAGCTGATGGATAAAGGCTGCTGCCTTACTCTTCTGGGAGAAGGAAAAGACCCTGAGTCACCTAGAAGGCCATTCTCCATTTAACTTAGGACTCCGTTATTTCTTAGACATTTCACAAGCCTATAGCTTGCCCATCAGATACTGAAACATTCAGGATAAGACATAGGACCAAATCTCATTTACAAAAAATAGACTTCACATCTCTGTGTCAGTGTCATGATGCTTCAGGACATACTTCAATTACATTATAATTAGAACAGTGTAACATGGGTTCAGTGTGAAAATTAGGCTCCCTGAATCCCTGAAATGCTGCTCCAGGCTTTTATCATAGTGCTATGAACTTAACAGCATCCTCAAAAACTCTCTGCACAGATTTTACTAGAGACCAAAGACCACATCCTTCAAAGTAGCTTTTGAAATACAGATGTATCTGTTACTTTGCAAGTTAGGTTTATTACATCTTACCTTTCCTTTTGCGATTATGAAGAAGGTATTGCCTTCTTCTCCTTCCCGAATAACATAATCTCCCTTGTCATAGTACTCCTGTTGTGGAAGGAGGCGAAGAGAGACAATATTGTTCAGTACATGATTAGCTTCTTTGAAAATTCTGATTACTATGCAGAGTTCTTAATACATCTGGATGTTCCAGTGATGTTTAACTTCCTATCTCCTGCGTATGTTGCATTCCATAATATGCAATCATTCCCCTAAATAAAGCACAGCATCCAATCTGTAACATATCTTCATGCAGCAGCATGCTGCTTGTTAAAAAACATACTAACACTGGTATCATCCTTACAAAGCAGGGGAAAACGAGGGGAAAAAAACCCAAAATAAAAAGCTCTTAAAAGAGTTCTAGATCAAAATCCCATTTCCAAAAGTAATTCTGGGATTGACACCTCAGTGGGAATGCCTAAGTCATTTATTGCAAGCTATGAAAGCATCAACTTTACTGTGTCTGCCAAGGAACCCTGCCTTCATTGTTAAACATTCAATCAAGAATTTTTCCATGTTAACTTTCAGCTTTGTAATCTGTTTCTCATGAATATTCCTCATTTTTTTCTCCTCTAAGTGTTTCATTTTAATAAAGGCTGGATTATAAATCCTCTTATCTACTTGCTTGGTTCCTTCCATGTCAAAGATATAACTAGCTTTTATGCCACTAAATGTTATTATTCGCTGCAACCTGGAATTCCACTCCAACCACTCCAAAACCACTGTCATGTTAAAAAAAAGCTTGGCTGTTTTTTCATTATTTTTTTTTAAACTTATTTATTCTTCTTTGTTATTTTGAAAGCTTACTGAATGCTATTTAGAAAAACTTAACAGCCTCTTACCACCTCCAGGCAGTCTATGATCTTGGTCAACTTATCCTCAGGTAAGTTTTTCAGCAAGGACACGCTTCCAGAAAACAGAAATGCAAAACAAAACAAAATAACAAAAGTAGTTGTCATTAACACTGTTTTAATGATCTCATCTATACAACTTCAGTACTACTTGGACAAGTACTAAAAGAGAATCCAACCACGGTGATGATTTAGTGAACTTGCTGGTGAGAAAGAAGAAACTTCCCATCCTAAGCACTCAGACTTGTAAAAGTTAGGAAATCATAAAGCTCTCCAGCCACCCAGGCTCAGCTAAAGAGTATTTATAGAAATCAAAGGTGGAGATGGATGCAAAAATACACACGACATTCTCTGCATGGCCAGGCCTGATGTCTTGATTTGAAGCCAAAACAGAATGGTAATTCTTTGTTAAAGAAAGAAAATATGAAATCAGCTGATTATGGTTTGGAACCTCTAATTTGTCTTTCTTTTTTAGGAAAAGCACTGTACTATTCTGTGTTCCATGCAGGAGTAAGAATTATTCTACTCTGCAGATTTGCTAGTAATTTATATTGGTTCATAAATTGAGAGACATTCAGTTCTCATATTCAAGTCTCCAAGGGATGAATATTGCTTAACCTACTCCAGCAGCAAATTAACTTCTACCTGGAGGATTTATTTAATTCTATTTATTTAATATATTGTTTTAACTTCTAGCCATGTAACCTTCCCATACACTTCTTCCATTACTTAAAAGCATTCGAGAACCTATTGCTGTTTCCTAATGTAATACAGGATAAGAACATTCAAAATGAGAAGAAAGATTTTATGACTCTTCAAAAGAAAAATCAAGAGAGGTAAGTATTGAGGCTTTTGAGGCCCTTTGCATTATGAGCACTTCTTTCTCTTTGTAAGGCAGACTCCATATTGTGCACGTTACGAAGAAGCTGAAACCAGTATTAGAAATCTAAATGCATTATACTTACCTTCTAAGGAAGTTTCTGTATTGCTCTTGTCTTGTTTGTGCTGTCACCCTCATGATATTTTGAAACACTTCTCTGTCCAATGCCCATGTTTTAACACCGGTGATTGCTTAAGAAAACAAAAACCAACAACAAAATCAACAATGCTTCCCAATAATGTGATGGAAGATATTACAGTATCAGGTCACAGTACTAGGCAGACTAGCTCTTCCAAAATGCCCACTGCCAAATTTTAGAGTATATAGCACCTACTGCAATCGTACTTGTAAAAGAATTCAGCTTCCACTTAAACAATGCCCCCTGAAGTAAGGCATAGGTTTCCAAATGGCTCCTCCACACAGCACTTTCCATGCAACTCCACAGGCTGGGTAACCTTGAAAACCTAGCCATTTACTATGAGCACAAACAGGGCTGAGTACTTCTAAAGATCTATTTGTAATCATGGACAATCATTGCATTCAAAAGCTGCAATGTAATCTGCAAAGAAGCTTACTTGAAAGAAAAACTTGGCTGAATTTTTTATCATTTATGAGATAAATGTTGAATAATGTGTCTTGGACCCATTTCTAACTCACATTACATGCAAAGTTTGTGAGATAGTAACATAGAAATAACAAAGGTCAAGAAATACATTTTATTTAATCCTGTGATCCTCACACAGTTTTCCTCCAATGTAGCCATTTTGTAAGGGAATAAAGAGTAATCAAAACATTAATCATTATCTTTCGAGGGGTAATCAAAATATTAATACAGTAAACACGCATAAGATCCAGCATCAAAGGTGCAAACCACTAAGCGGCCTCTATGTGCAATCACTGGCATAACAATACATTGCCCTTTTTAATTTAAGCAGAATAAGGTGATTCTTTTCAATTTAATATCTTATTTTAAAAGATGCTACACCATATTCGACAATTTTCCTTCTGTCATAAGAAGGAACAAAGCTGTTTTCTCTGGGATAAAGGAAAGCTGCAGAAAAAAAATAAAGCAATTGATCTCAATTTATCATGCACACAGAATACAGGAAAGAAAAATGCCAGGTTTAAAATGATGCACAGTCATTCCTTATACTTAACCCTGATATACACATATGCTCTCAACAGCCATTTATCAAAATAACTCAAAAATAGTTTTGGATGTTGGAAGGGAGAACAAAGGTATTGCTTTGGTTTTGCTTTTCTCCTAAATAACATCTTTCAGGTTACTTTGCATGAAGAAAATATGGCAAGTATCCAAGCTATCGTGGATGCTTTTCCTGTATCTTGCACCTTAACTAAAGAAAACAATTATATAGCTAGAAAAGCGCATGTAATTTCAAAAATGAGACAGAGAAATTTATAAACATAGGAGTAAATCACATTCTCAGTGTCAAATACAGCTACTGAATGTAAACATGCTGCTGTATAGCAGCAGCCATTGAAGTGCTGTCTGTCTTGTCAGTTTTCAAAGACTGCAGGCAAAGGGCATCTCTTAATTCAGTATCAAGAAAGAGTTTTCACGTATGTATTTACTAGTCATTTATGGCATTGCACTGCTCTTCCTTCACAACAAGAAATACAGGAAAGATATTGGGGAGGAGCAGGTTTCTGCAGGGATTTTAAGTAATCAAACACAGTTGTCCATAATTGGACAACTCTTATCCTACCTCAAAACCAATTAATGTTAAAGGTCTAAAGCAGCACAACATCTTGCTATGCAGAAACACTACTTTATAATGCTAATACTATACAGCAAGCAAAACAGGAAAATAGGGAACACATTCAAGTAGATCAGTGTGCTAGTAAGAAAAATAATCACATTATTGATGCTGCTCTCTTTATCAGCAACAACAAAAGCAGATTAGATGTAGTAATTTCCATCTGCACAGCCATCAATGATTAAGTGCTTAAACTGGGAGCAGGAAGAAAGACCAGGAGCTTTAAAGCAAACAACTTCTTGTTTTATTCAATTTGCTCATTTTTAAGTCAACATGAACTCTTCATTCTTACTGGTGGTTCAAAGTTCCTGCATATTTAGACAGGAAAAGAAATTAGCCTTTAAGGAAATCTTTATGGAATGGTAGAAAGTGGGAAAATTAAGATTTTTATCATATTTGGTCACTTCCTGGTGTGTCACAGAATAATTATGTCAGGTTAGAAAATGAATTAAAGGGTACTTAGTGGATGAATACCCAGTTTTATGCAGGAAGAGGCATATATGTGTCAGAGCAACACTTAACAACTCCATCCTGGTCTGCTGGTAAACACAAAGCAAAAGCCACTATTTGTGTCAGAGAAGCACCACATCTCACCTGGAAGTTTCACCTTTTCTACTACCACATTTGAGATCAAACTGAAATCTCCTGAGTGCCAGTTGCAAATACCAGGTGCAAGTGAATATTGGCAAGACTCAGTAACTTAACGATACAGAACTAAAAGAAGTAAAACAGCAACTAACTCCTATATATTTTATTTCCTCTTGAATTACACTTTATCTGCCCTATTAAAAACACCACAGTTTCAAACTAACTGTAATTTCAACCTCAGAGTTGCATTTGATACAAGAAAGAACATAAGAGTCAAAGACCGCCACTGCTACTGAATCATTCAACCCTAAAACATAGTCCTTCCATAGCAGATAGTTTGGTACAGATCTGGCTAAACAGCAGATCTATAGATGCCTAATTGTTTATCAAAGGTCATGATAGAGATGGAATTATATTCATAGCATAGTGTTAGAGTTCCCAAGCAGAAAGAACTGAAGAAAGGAAACATGAGCTGAAGAACTGAAGAACTGAAGAAAGGAAACATAATCAGGACACGCAGAAATGTATTCAATGAAAACTTCAAAGATAACCTGGCTATAACAAGGACCTCACAAAAAATTCACAGTTTTCTTTTTGACCAATGTTGTCATAGTAAACCTTAGGTACCTTTCACAGAGGCTGTCCTTGTGCAGTTGTATAAAATGGCTAGTTCACCAAATGCCGTCCACACAGGTATTGAGGAGAGTAGTTTATCCTGCTGAAAGACCTCCAGGCTCCCCTCTGTCAAAAATCATCAGGATAATAGGTGTTAAAACTGAGCTCAACTGCACAGAGTGAAGAGAAAACAAAACAATATTCTGCCTTTGCCACTCCCTGGAACAAAGAAATAGGAGCAACAACTGAAAAACAGTAGAGGTTTGTGGGGCTTTTTGGTGTTTACTTTGTTGCGATTTTGGGTGGGAGGGATGCTTGTTTTTTGGTTTGGTTTGTTTTTGTTTTTTTTCTTAATGTATTGGTAATCTAAAAATCTGCTCTGGAAGGGAGGGAAAACAGAGAGAAACCTTTCAACACTAAAAGGCCATAGAAAAGAGCCCTTCTAAATCCTGATGGGATAAACCTTTGCTACAACAAAACAGTCAGTACAGGTTCAGATAGTCTACTGTAGCGTAGACAGACCAGTCTTAACATAGTGAGCTCCTGAGGTTTGCCTGTTTATACATGCTTATGTATATATGTGCAGAATGCAAAGGAAAGGACAGAAAAACAAAAAAGCACATTAAATATTCAATAAATTGTCTTTGAGCCTTACTACAAACCTAGGAAAAGTCAAAGAAAATCTGAATTTCTTCATAGGTTATGGTCCAAAAAACCCTTCTCCTAAATATGCTCTGAAAGCTTAGCCCTCTTCTCTCCAAGAGACCCACTGACTCCTCAAAAAATCTCATGTGCCAGAAAAATTTCCATGTGAACAACTTCCTCATATTTTATCTGTTTTCCAAAACGTTATAATTTTATCTAGCAAGAATATGACTAACACATTACAAATCCTGCCTCCTCTTTCTCCCTGCACCATCAATGTTATCCTAACATAATGACCATCAATCATATGAAGCAAGAAGCCAGAAGATGTGCTTTCCAAAAATCTGTGATTTAAGATTTGAGTGTAAGCACAGTGGCAGTCAGCACAGATGACTACTGCAGTGAGATTACTTCAGACCTGCTGTCAATACTTTAGGAAAGTTTTCCTATCCAAAGGCTTTTTTGTTGTTGTTGCACCTCTAATCTTTGAGAAAAATAAACTCAGACCTCATCTTGCAATTTCCCCATACACTGAAAACAGGTAGAAGCTTCCATGAATGTTGAAAAGGAAATTTGTTTCAGAAGTGGCTTCATTATTGAGCAGTTTTCTGTATTTTGGAGTATACTTGCTCTTCCTTGGGCTATAGCTACAACAGAAAGGATTTGCTAACCTCTAGGCTTTCAGAAATGAAAGAGGCCATGAAATAACATTAAATCAAGGTTTAAGTTTCTAAGGGTTTTTTTATTGCTCTTACTCTGTTTCATAAAACTCACAGGTAAAACTTGCATTGCCCTCAGTAGGGCCGGCAAAAATGATATAAGAGCACAAACATCATCATTGTGGTTTCCTGCAAAGACTTCTAAATTGCATTCCACTTTCTCGCACTTGTGGGTTATGAGTAAGCAGTATTCACCTTTGAGCACAAAAATGTGATTGCCTGGCTCTCCCTGTCTGATGACATAGCTGCCTTGCTGGAAAGTCCTTTCATACATACATTCCACCATATCTCGGATCTGGTGAGGCTCCAGTCTCTTCAAGAACTGATTTTTATTCAGGGCATCTGTGATAAGTTTCTTCTCACTGGTTTTAAACAAACAAACAAACAAAGTTTAAAGATCTAGCATGGTTGAGGTATATTATTGACTTGGCATTCATTCCTCTCAAGATGTTTTCTCTCATTTCTGACAGTCATATGACCAACACCACTGACAAATGTTACAACACTTGCAATCAATATGCATACCCATTAGCAGTACCATGCTACGGCCTCTCTTCTCCTACGTGACCCTGCCTGCAGAAAGCATTATTTTAGATGTAAAAAAGCTCCCAGTAGAAGACATGCTCCCCAGAAAGTTTTGCACTGTTTCTCACCATATTCTTTCCCCATTGCACAACTAAGATAAATGCACTTGCTTACCTGAAGGAAAGAAATGTGAAAGGTATGCCTTTCTATACCCCTGCCTCTACAGGAATGGCAACTTGGTATAAAATCAGACCAACTTCTCTAAAATTCTATCACGTTTTTCCTAATGCCCAGCAAAAATGTAACACTGATAATAGTAATAAGGTTAAAATCAACACTGATGATACTAAGACCTCATCAAGGTGGTGAGGAAAGATGCAAGGAAAGAAAAGTACACAAAAAATGATTTAACAGCTGCTGTTGTTGCTTAGGGGAATATTAGAAGGCACCGTTGGTGGGAAAACCAAAGCAAGTTGTACTGCTTTTAGGAATGTTTAGAGTATAATCAGAAGTAAAAATGTAATACAAGGGCTTGTGGATATAGGTATGCAGCCATTAATGTTGACCTCTTTGCTTTCTGAAATTCAGTGTTTATAGCTGTCCTGGGTTCAGCAGTAGCAGTCATGTTTCTCCTCCTTGGTAGCTGGTGCAGTGCAGTGTTTTGACTTTCGGCTCGAGAACAGAGCTGATAAAGATGTTTTGGTTTGGCCAAGGACTTTGTGAGCCTCATGCTCTGCCAGGGAGGAGGGGAAGCTGGGAGGAAGCAGAGACAGGACACCTGACCCAAACTGACCAAAGAGCTATTCCATACCACAGCACGTCATGCCCAGGATGTAACTGGGAGTTAGCCAGAAGGGCTGGGAGACTGCAGGGTTGGAGGAGGTATCGGTCGGAGCTTGGTCGGGCTTGGGGGGCGAGTTATCGGTCAGTTGGTGCTGAGGTGTTGTATTTTCTTCCCTTGTTATTTCCTTTATCATTATTATCATTGGTGGTAGCATTAGTGATCTGTGTTATACCTTAGTTACTAAACTGTTCTTATCTCAACCCGTGGGAGTTGCATTCTTTTAGATTCTCCTCTCCATCCCTCCGGGAGTAGGGGGAGGGAAAGAAGGGGGGGGGGGTGAGTGAACGAGTTACCTGACTGGGTTTAAACTACGACAGTTCTTTTTGGCGCCCAACGTGGGGCTCGAAGGGTTGAGATAAGGACAGATTTGACTGGATTAATAGTCATTCGTCACAATGCTGATTTATTGGGTATCAGAGTTGTTTTTCTTGATCTCACAGCTTCAGACCATTGTAACTTACGTAGAGCCGGTATTCGCTGTGATAGTGTTTATCAAGTGTGGGGCCTGGGCTAAGGTTCTTGTCTCACTGTGCTTTGTGGCAATGGCTTGTAATACGGGTGGGCTCCAGCAGCAGGGCGGGACGGACGTGGCCGTGGACTTGTACCTGGCCGTCCGGCTGCTCTTCACCGTCCTGGCCCTCGCCCTCGCCTCCATCTTCGTGAGGCTGCGGGGAACTGAGGGGGAGCGGTCGCGGGAGCCGGCGGCTGCTGAAGCGGCCCGGGAGAGCGGCCCCGGGGACCAAGCGGCGGCGGGAGCGGGGCCGGAGGTCGCCAGGGGACGGCTGCCGGTGGAGGAGGCCGGGGCGGTCGAGGAGAGGAAGGAGGCGGCTGCCGAGCAAAGGGAGAAGGCGGCGGAAGAGCCCAGCCCCGCGGAGGAGCCGAGCCCCGCGGAGGAGCCCAGCCCCGCGACGGCCGAGAGCATTCCCCGGCAGCCACCCGCCGAGCCCCAGGAGGATGCAGGAGACCACGCAGCATTTCCCAGCAAGGCAGAGGAGGAAGAGCTGGACTCAGGAAAAGAGAAGCCGGTGGTGGGAGAGCCGGCAAGCACAGCAGCTACACCAGCCCCAGTGACAAGCACAGCAGCATCGTTTGAGAGTTCTGAAGGCTCTGAATGGCCTTTGGGTATCCCTGGGACCTGCCTGCTGATTGTGATGGGGATCAGCATGTTGGCACACACACAGGCTGTGTTCTACCCACAACCATTTTGTCTGATCTCAAAAGTTAAGCAGAGTCAGGTTTGGGTCTTGTCTGGGGTTAGACAACAATATAGGGGGACCAAGAGATTTTCCCCAAGGCTGGAGAGTCATGAGTGGCAGGGTGTGTGGGACAGTATGGGCAAGTATCTAGTCCACTGGGCCCCTCCAGTGCTTTGGAAGCATCGGAGATGGAAGGCAACTGTATGGAGTCCCCAGCAACAAGCTGCAGAAACTGCTTAAGGGGACAGTGAATTATTTTAAGCCTGGTGGGCCCATGGCACTTCAGGCCATCAGAGCAGAGATGCAACATAGAGATGGACTCATGATCGAGGGGTGGACTTAGCAATGGACACTATTGCCCAGGTTATTCACGAGTGTGAACACTGCACACAGTCTCTCCTGCTCTGGAAGACTGTTACAAGAGATGGAGCCTGACATGGACCAGATGGGCGCAGCAGCTTTATAGGGACTGGTCCATGCACTAAGATAAGAGTGCACTGAGATAAGAGTGATGGTATATTGAAAATGTGGGATCTGAGCATGACGTGAATGGTATGGAATAAGGGGTGGATAATGTCCTGGGTTCAGCAGTAGCAGTCATGTTTCTCCTCCTTGGTAGCTGGTGCAGTGCAGTGTTTTGACTTTCGGCTCGAGAACAGAGCTGATAAAGATGTTTTGGTTTGGCCAAGGACTTTGTGAGCCTCATGCTCTGCCAGGGAGGAGGGGAAGCTGGGAGGAAGCAGAGACAGGACACCTGACCCAAACTGACCAAAGAGCTATTCCATACCACAGCACGTCATGCCCAGGATGTAACTGGGAGTTAGCCAGAAGGGCTGGGAGACTGCAGGGTTGGAGGAGGTATCGGTCGGAGCTTGGTCGGGCTTGGGGGGCGAGTTATCGGTCAGTTGGTGCTGAGGTGTTGTATTTTCTTCCCTTGTTATTTCCTTTATCATTATTATCATTGGTGGTAGCATTAGTGATCTGTGTTATACCTTAGTTACTAAACTGTTCTTATCTCAACCCGTGGGAGTTGCATTCTTTTAGATTCTCCTCTCCATCCCTCCGGGAGTAGGGGGAGGGAAAGAAGGGGGGGGGGGTGAGTGAACGAGTTACCTGACTGGGTTTAAACTACGACAATAGCACACATTGGTGATGCTATAGCAAACTACAGCCATCCTGAGTTATTTTGTTAAAAAGTCTTTAGAAAAGCTTCAACCCATAAAAGACAGTGGATGGATTTTTAAGAAGAAAATGTGGAAAATGCAACAGTGGTCAAATCCACTAACCAATCAATACAAACCTGGCTATACATACATACATACATACATACTGGGCAATCTATGAGTTCTGGCTGACTTGCATACGTTCTAGGTCAAGGGCTTTCTACAAAGCAGTGCCTTGAATCCATGCCAGAGTGAATGCAGTTAAACAACTGCTGCACTGATGGAGTTCTTATGGACCTACTGATTACTTTGACCTTACTGCTGAAGCGAAAGATAAATTCTGCCTTCAAGTCCTTTCCTTAATGTGCATGTGTAAGGAAGCTGTATAACAAAATAAACACCCTAACAACTTTCTGAGGCATTTAAAGTTCACTTTTGCTTGTATTCATAAAAACACAGCACAGTTATAATCAAAAATAGGTTGTACGAGAAAACCTCCTGAAGAATATCCAGGAATATCCCACCCAGAGGGACCCTGACAAGCTTGTGAGGTGGACCGATGCCAACCTTATGAAGTTTAACCATGCCAAGTGCAAGGTCCTACACCTGGGTTGGAGCAATCCCAGGCACAGCTACAGGTTGGGCAAAGAAGAGATTCAGAGCAGCCCTGTGGAGAAGGACTTGGGGGTGTTGGTTAATGAGAAAATGAACATGAGCTGGCTTCAGTGTGCGCTCGCAGCCCAGAAAGCCAACAGTACCCTGGGCTGCATCAGAAGGGGTGTGACCAGCAGGTCGAAGGAGGTGATTCTGCCCCTTTACTCTGCTCTTGTGAGAACTCACCTGGAGTATTGTGTGCAGTTCTGGGGTCCTCAACATCAAAAGGACATGGAGCTGTTGGAACAAGTCCAGAGTAGGGCCAAGAGGATGATCAGGAGACTGGAGCACCTCCTGTTTGAAGATAGGCTGAGAAAGTTGGGGCTGTTCAGCCTGGAGAAGAGAAGGCTGCGTGGAGACCTCATAGCAGCCTTCCAGTATCTGAAGGGGGCCTATAGGGATGCTGGGGAGGGACTCTTCATTAGGGACTGTAGTGGTAGGACAAGGGGTAATGGGTTAAAACTTAAGCAGGAGAAGTTTAGATTGGATATAAGCAGGAAGTTCTTTACTGTAAGGGTGGTGAGGCACTGGAATGGGTTGCCCAGGGAAGTTGTGAATGCTCCACCCCTGGTGGTGTTCAAGGCCAGGTTGGACAGAGCCTTGGGTGACATGTTTTAGTGTGAGGTGTCCCTGCCCATGGCAGGGGGAGTGAAACTTGATGATCTTAAGGCCCTTTCCAACCCTAACTATTCTACGATTCTATGAATGAACAATCCGTTAAGGCAATTTAAGTAGACTTACAATGTTACTAGCCATATAATGACTGAAAATAAATAAAAGGTGATGAAATGAGACAAGAAAAATAAAATCAAGTAGCTATGGTGAGGAGTGGGTTTAGACAGAGCTATAATAACTCAGCTTCTGCTGAAAACAACAGGGTTATTAGAACATAAGATCTAACTTTGTTTTCTGCTTGCTTATTTAATTCACCCTGCCCTCATCATGCATACAATACTGCAGTAAAATGCAGTAATGGCTCATAAACTGTTACTTAAAATGAGCAGTAACGCTTCCAGAACTACAGGAGACTATGCTGTTTTCAAAAAATGCAGTTGGCCACAGACCAAAGGACACATGAATATCATAACCATGGCTGAGGCTCTTGAATGAGTTTCTTGCTCATTTCATGGGCAAACAGCATAGTATTTGTCTTACAGTTTCATAAAACTGTAAGATAAAAAAAAAAATAAATAAAAAAAAATAAAACTGTCTTTGCTGTTTCCTCATTTTCTCATATACCTGCCCTACTTCTGCAAACTGCTGCTGGGCATAACTAGATGTCCTGAAAGGACAAAAGATGTTTAATCCTGTACTCGAGCCAGTCACTGTCCTGATGAATACTACTAAAAGGCCAAAAAGTGGTTGCACAACTCCACAAACTGGTCTGGTGTTGAAGTACTTATTGGACCCACCACTAGTAGGACTTCATCGCCTGGGGCTAGCTAAGCCATTAGCATCCTTCTCCAGGCTTTTCTCCCCTCATTGCTGTTAGCTCTCATGGAAATGTTACCCCTTCGCCTTTCAATACATTCCCAGTAAACCCCTAGGAATAGCATTTGAAATTCTATGAAAGGCTTCTTCTTAACAGAATCGGGAATTTAGTCCCATCACGAGACAGTCATTTCATAGGTACAAGTGTACAACATATACTTTACAGAGCAATGCTGTCTCTTAATATATGTTTCTGCTACTAATGGGAGATTTTTGGTTATCTGCTGTCTTTGACTGGTAAAAGACATCAGTGTCAAGTCTCAAGATAGTTCTTCCCCAACAAATAACTGTTGATAACAGAACTGAGTCACGATCCTGACTTGATGTAGCCAGCTTAAATTCTGAGGATGGTGATAGCATGCTCTGGAAGGACACAAAAATAGAGAAACAGGTCCTAGAGATACTGAAACACATAGATTCTGAACACTGCAAAGGGTAACAGATAAAAAATTTTCATTTGAAAGACCTTAGAGACCTGCTTTCATATACCTTGTTCAAACTCCAGAATATTGAGGCTTTAGTTAAATTTTAATGCTCAAACTTCCATTAAGAAAAATCTTAAACACTCAGTTTTGGAAACTGAGATGGATTCATCCAGCTAGCTCAAGAGATGAAATATATACATAAGTAAACATTCAGTAATACAGACAGATCAAGAATTACTGAAAGCTTCTAAAACTGTCATTAAAATAATTCATGCTGAGATACTCCAAAGTGTGCCACCTAAACCCCTACTAAATGAATAGCATAAAATTGTGCTGTTTTAAAAATGCTTCTAAAAGGGATTGGTAAAACTCTAGACTCAAAGCAAATTCAAGAATAAAGCATGGAGCTTCCCTTCCTTCTGAAATAGCTCCTTTCACAACTGTGGAATAACACAGGTAAGGAAACCTTCCAGCATTTGGTTGTCTCCGTAACAGGTGATGGTGGCTTAAACAAGTGCAAGTGTAGCACAGGCTTTCCTGAACAGCACAGTAGTGCTATGTGTAAAAACAGTTTTGTGGTATTTTCTTTGCATCTGTTTGCTTCCAAAGTATTTGGAAGATCAAATGATCTTCCACTATCACGTCAAAAGATGTATCTGCCCTTGAGAAGTCTGAGCAAATTCTTTCACTATTACTTGACCTGTTAGAGAAAGCATAAATTCTTCCCCCTGTGACTATAATGTATGTTAGTTTACAAACAGAATCACAGAAAAGCTGGAAATGGTGGGAAAGAAAGGGGAGGATGGCGTGCTCTTACTGTCAATGCAGTGCATGCTTAAGCAGTCAGTTACTTCAGGGCAGTAAATACCTGAATAAATTTAGGAGTGGTGTGTTCTGAATTGTTATGAATCTATGGGAGACTCAGCAGTAACAATGACAATCTCTGAATCAGACTGTAAGAGATGAAAGGAGGGAAAAGGAAGAGAACTGCTCCTTTATCCTGTTACGTTACACTAAATCTTCTAGAAAAACAACGGAGATGGCATGCAACAAGAAAAAAATAAAACGTTTTTAGAAGTGCTGAATGAAGAAGGAAAATTTTAAGACAGGTAATTACGAATAGAACACTCCTAAAGCAAATGATTACTTAAACTGCCCAAGTACCTGTGATAAAATGTTAATACAATCCCTTTATTCTGGAAAAACATTGCTAGTTGACGATTTGAGCTCCTTATGGTGATGCTACAGCACACTGGTGACTCAGGTAGCTTTTCTGTTTCACAAGACAGCCTCTAATGTGCAGTGATGTATATAATGGAGGGGGAATCTAATAACTCTTAGGTCTATTACAGTACAGACTCAGATTGTGCCATGAATTCTTAACAGAATGATAAAGATCCCCACAAATCTGAGGCACTTAAGATGCTGGCTGACATCCAGATAGATTCTGGCTACCAGCATGCTAAAACAGATACTCAGGTTACGTCTACACTGCAAAGCAAAAGAGGGTCTAAGGTATGCTGAAAGTTACCAATCTGGTACCTCTGTCCACAAAGTCAGCTGCGACCACAGAGCTCCACAAGGAGGTTACCACTTCTTGTATGTGAGTTGAAGAAGAGGTATTTTTTCTTTTGCAGAGGCTAGAAGTGTATTCACAGAGGAACAAGTAAAACCAGGTTCCTACACCATGACTGTCAGAAGCTGGGCAGGAGGGTAAGAGGAAGCTGCTAAGAGGATAATCACACTACACAACAGATTTCATATTTCACACCAGACTGAGTTGAAACTAGGCTGACAAACTTTGTACACAGCTCAGAATCTGTGTCCATACCGCATCTGAAAGAGCTGAGCTGGGGCTACCTCCTCCTTTCTAAAGTTGTCCATGCAATGGGAATAAGAATCTGAAACCATGTGAAGGCCTCCAGCCTTCTGCTCATCAGTGTTCCAGAGTACATCTTTAGCTGCAAGCACTAGGTGAATCCAGACCTGAGAAGAGGTTTAGGTTCTTCTTCACTGGCAGTAAAGATAAATCCCAAAGAGACTTATTGTAAGAGTCTCTCCTCCTCTAAAACACAGAGGCTACCCACCACTCTTCATCTGCAGTCTGTGGGACACAGATGATTCTTGTTTAAAGTTGCACACAAACTCAGCCAGCACCAAACTACCACAGTGACAAAGCCTATATAAACAAGATGGATACTTTAATCTTGATTTGTCATAAGGAGAGGATATCATTGTGATAACATTTATATCTCTGTAACTCAAGCATGTAATCTCCCTGAAATGAGCTCACCTGGAATCCTTTCGGACTGTTGCTTTTTCCAAGGAGAACGTAGTTTGCTTGTTCAAATCATAGAGCCGTGTCGTTGGCTCTGCAGATACACCTTCCTTGGCTCCTCTTCTCCTGTCAGCAGATATCTGAATCCTTGAAGCTGCTTTAAAAGGAGAAGGCTGAAGAGAATGCTCTCCTTGAGTGCTAACAACATCCTGCAGCTTGTTCAACTGTATACACTTGTTGTGAAGCTCCTTGGTGAGTTCTGCTATGACCTTAGCCTGCATAGCCAGCTGTTCCTGAAGCTCAGCAACACGACTTTGACCCTCTTGCAACTCTAGATCTTTTCTCTTCAGTTCCTTTTCCAGTTCAAGCACCCTGCTGCAAAGAATATCAGCTTGCTCGCTAGTCACATTGATGCCTAGCCCTGGGTCCTTCAAAAACTTACGGTTGCCACCACAGCCAATAGAGAGGTTTGCCACATGTCTGTCTGTTCTTCTCAGATGCTTGGGTTTCACTAATCCATTCCCCATTTCGTCCAGAGACCTGGGTGAGAAAATAAATTTGCAGGTTTACTTCATTCACCAACAAGAAAAAAAAAATAATCATAGAATGGTAAGTAATGAATTTAGTCTTTAACTGGCAGCTGAATTTGAGACATACATACAACTATAGTAAACATAGCTGATTGCTTTCATCCTTTACAGCTCTGAAAATTGGAGCATGGCAAAGAGAAGAAGTAGGTAGATGGCAGATACAAAGCAAAGGATCTGATGGTTACCACTTCTTGTTTGTGAGTTGAAGAAGAGACGTGTAACAAAGAAAACCTCAAAAACCATCAGGAAGGAGGAAAGCTTGCACTGTACTGCAGAAGCAAGAAAACTGTTAGAAGGAGGAGCCTGTTACACAGGATCCCCAGGGAAGCAGTCAGAGCACCAAGCCTGTCAGCATCTCGATGATGCTCTTAGTTGTGTGATTTAGGTATTTGTGTGAGGAGCAGAGAGTTGGACTTGATGATCCTTATGGGTCCTTTTTACCTTGAGACAGTCTATGAATTCTGTGATTAAAAAAAAAAAAAAGAGTTGGATCACTTTCCAATTGAGGAATAATTACTGATTACACAGACTTGTTTAATCTGTGGGTGCGCAACTGCCTGGCACAAAGGATATGTGATTATTAAGCACATGTTAATAATACTAAAACAAACAAACAAAAAACTTTAAGGGTTATGACCATAAAAGAACAGTCATACTGATCAGAACAGGGGTCTTGCTGGCTTGTAAACTATCACAACTATGGCCTTAAGATGCCCAGCAAAGGATGAGCACATAGGCTGCTTGACTGAAATACTGTCTGAGATTTCAGATTTCCTGAGCCTGATATGCTTTATTTAATCCTCAATGGATCTGTAATACTAGTACTTGTCCCATTTCCCATCTAACCCCTGTAAACTTCATATCTGCAGACCCTGGTAGGACCCTAGTGAGGATTTACACAGGTCTACTTTTTGCATGAGGAACTACCTCCTTTAATTTGTTTCTTCCAGTACAAAACCAGAGATATAAAAAGTAGGAAAATTCAGTTTCACAAAGATTTATCTCTATTAACCTTTTCTCTACTATTTTGTATATTTCTGTCCTACCTCTCTGCCTGCGCATATTTCTGAATTCTTTCCCAGAATGACAAGTCCTAGCTTACTCAGTCCATTCTCATATAAGCATCACTCCAAAAGTTTGACCTACCTTGCTGTCTTTTGCTGATGCCAAATTCAGAGCATCACAGTTACACCTAATTTAATCCTATCAAGAGCAGGCAGGTGGCACTGTTTCTATAGCTCTGTGATTTTAAACTGCCTCACATTTGTTAGTGTAACAGCAGCTACTGCCTTCAAGGAACAATTACCTTTTGAGAGGTATGGGGAATTACCCTTTGGCTAGTCTGGGTCTCTGCTCCCTCCCAGCTTCTTGTGCCCCTCCTCAATGGCAGAGCATGAGAGACTTGAAAAGTCCTTGGTCAGGGTAAGTGCTCTGAGGAACAACTAAAACATCTGTATGTTATCAGCATTACTTATACTAAAGCCAAAACCCAGCACTGCACCAGCTACTAGGAAGAAAATTACCCCAGATGAAACCAGGACACTCACCTTCTTCCCTGGACACTATCTTTGGTATATTTTATTGTATAATTTCAAGAAGACCAAGGAAGAAGTGCCTGCTGCTTAGGTCAAGCTATATTAAATGCACAAGTTGAGGGGAAGAGAAAAATTAACACATTCCTTCTTTTTAGTCTTGGGAAGCAATGCCTGCCTATAAATCCACCTGTGAGCCAACAGTGCCAGGTTACAGTTTGGTTTAGTTGAAGCCTAAGGAGACCTTCACCAGGAGAGAAGGAATGAGCATAAGGCTGCATTTCCACGCCTTAGTACCACACTCAGAGCTTTTCCCAAAACACCTGCTCAGGCTCTTGAATCCTGCTCAACTGTATCCTGCTACTGCAAAAGACCACAGCACAGAAAATACCTTCCTTAGACTAAACAGAGTTTTCTTCCTCAGACTCTGATTTTTGCCTCATCAATAAGCTATTTTAATAAGTTTTATAAAAGTACTGGTGTACTAACCAGGCACTAACCATACTGCTATAGTGATCAGTCACCCGTACAGCCAAAAGTAGCTGTTGTTCTGCCTCATGAATAAAGTACAACATTTTCAGGTTGAACCACAAGTGATATGGCTTAAGTTTTAACCTCTTTTAACATTTCATTGGGTGAGGACATGTCCCTGAAAAGGTACACTGATCAGACAGCAAGAAATAAACTGGGAGGCCACAGCAATTTGCCTTTCCTAGCTATTACAGCCACAATTCTGTTCTGGTTTGCAGCCTTCAGTGGATTAGAACTGAAATACCTGACAAGGCAGCTCACACTGCAGATCTAGTTTTCCTTAAAACAGTCTTGCTGCTCAACTCTGCTTTGCTTATTGTGACTCTACATAACGTTTTTGTTTTACCCCAATTGCTGTATGCATTTTGACAGCTGGTGCTTCAGCTCAGAAACAGGGCAGTATGTCAGAAATAAAGGTAAATCTGACTGCAGAGGGGGACTTAAAAAAATGGCACATCAAGGTACCAAATCAAATAACTCTCAAGAGGGACCTATGTGTCACTGCATGGCTTAACCAAAGATCTTGGCTCAGTATGCAACCAAACACAAACAAACCAAACACAACAACAAACCAAACATACCAAACAAACCAACCAAACACAACAACAAAACAACTACCAAGCTAAACTAAATGTTGCAATATTTATAGAGTAAAATATAAAATATACTCATTTTTACTCTATAAAACAGAGTAAAAATGGAGATTACAGGAAGCATGTCATCACACACAACAGGGCAGCAACATCTGCTACCAAATACAGTGGCAGTCACCACATTTCACAAAAAGGGTACCACAGACATTTTAAAGTTACCTTTACAAATGGATAGCGTGACTGCCGCAGGGCACAGGAAACCCTGCTATTTATACTGTACCCAGAAACAGAGCAAGTCCACTGTACAGAGATGATGATTAAAGTTCATAATATAACTGCACCAGAATGAAAACATCAGGAACTTCTGTCTTCCCATATGCACAGTTAATCATCACGGTACAATGGGACAAGCTAGCTGGATCTGAAAGATCCCTGTTTCCACCTGGTGCCAGTTATTGGATATTTGTAAAGGAAACTCATGGCCAAATGTATAGCAGGAATCAAGAAAAGACTGACAGGTAATTCAGCATTACATTACCTAATTCTAACAGAAAAACCTTTAATGCGTCCGAGGTTTGACCAACCTTACCCATAAGGAGTAAGACAAGAAGCAAGAGCAGTACATGCTCTGCGTTTAGCCTGGGCACCTCACACGCTCCCTGAGGGGTCTGCCACCGGCAGAGACGCGGCCAGCAAAGGACAGACCCAAAACCCACCCACTAGAGGATGCCGCAGGGCTGCTCAAGCGGTTCAGTGCAAGCCGGCTGCCCTCCTCACAAACCGGTGCACCCCAGGCCAGCGAGGTGCCGCTGCTGCCCGGCCAGCCGAGACCCCCGCCCCGCCGCCGGACCCCGGCGTCACCCCGGGGAGGCCGCAGCTCCTCCAGGCTGCGGTCCCGGCCTCCCCATGTCCCCACACGCACCCGCCGGTCCCGTCCCTCACCTGCGCGCTCGGCTGGACCGGGACCGGGGCCGGGGCCGAGCGGCGGCAGGCACAGAGGTTGATGCTCCCGCGCTCGCTGCGGAGCCGGGCTGGGCGGGGACGCCGCTGCCTGTCACGGGCGGCCGGGAGGTGCGGCGGGGCCGGGGGGGAGCAGCCGCGGCAGTGCCCGTGTCCGCCCGTGCCTCCCGCGGCGCTGCGGCGGTGCTGTGCTGTCCGCCCACAGGGGCAGGCAGAGGAGGCTCGCAGCGCGCGGGGAGCCGCCGGCGCTGCGTCCAGCATCGGGAGGGAGGCGGGTGCCTGTGGGAGGCCGGCAGGGTCAGGAGCTGCGGGGACGGACCAGACTCCTCAACCCATTCTGCTTCTCAGAAGGGTAAACGCAGGGCCCAGCTCGGGCCATGTTGGGAAGTGTTTGCTTGATTTCCACTGCCCTTTGCTGGGGTCCTAGCGTGACTGTTGGCTGAGCTACAGCAATGGAACCGCAGCCCTTATTCTCTGGAACTGGCCCCCAAGCCTCACTGCACAGGCCTCCTGCAAGGCACCTTCTCATGCACCAGGGTCTGTCCTCACCCAGGCTGGAGCACCACAGCTCTCTCCAGAATGGAGCATGGCCTCTGTGGGCAGCACTGGTTCTTGGTAGAGTACAGGTTTCACGAGGGCTGTTCTCTCCTGGCATGATTCCAGTGATTCAAAACAGCTGCGTTCAAATCAAGTTTTCAAACACCCTGTGAAACCATGAGAAAGGGGCTGTACAACAGCTGAAAAGCTGCATGTACAACTCTGCTGTCAAGCAGACTTGGTCTAAACCCAACCTGTAGCTTCTAGGACAGTGACCCTGCAATCTTCAGCAATGGAAAGCTGGAGAGAGACTTTTTAGCCGGGCCTGTTGCAATAGAAGGGGCAGTGGTGGTAAAATAAAAGAGGGGAGATTCGGGCTGGACGTGAGGAAGAAATGTTTTACAATGAAGGTGATACAACACTGGCACAGGTTGCCCAGATAGGTAGATGGTGGATATGCCATTCCTGTAGGCATTCAAGGCCAGGCTTGATGTGGTTCTAGGCAACCTGATCTAGTTGAAGATGTCCCTGCTCATTGCAGGGGGACTGGACTAGATGAGCTTTGAAGATTCCTCCCAGTCCAAACCATTCTGTGATTCTATGGTACTAGACCAACTGGAACTGGAGGAATCTCCCTTTTTTCCTCTCACTCTTCAGAGAGATCAGTCCTAGTTCAGCATTCCCGGTGGTGGGAATGTAGTCCTCCAGTATGAAATGAAAGCTCGACAAGAGAGGCCTGAGTATCATCCCTGTCTCAAGGGTGCTCAAGCCTGGTGCTCAAGTGCAAGCTCCGTTTGCACTTCCCCTCCCTGCCGCTTTGGTCTCAGTTACTTTCCCCAGCTGCTTTTCTTCGGGATACACTCCTGTGTTCTGTTCTGTGTCGACATCTGGTGGTCGAGCCCGTGATGGCAGATAAACAAGGGAAGCTCAACAGGGGCTGCAAGGGCTTTTTCCTTACACCCTGGCCTACCAGTAGGAAAACCGAACTCTGCTATGCAGCAGGGATCTATTTTCGCTGTTTTTCCCCCTCCAACTTGTCGCTCACCTGCTCCCCACTCCCAGCCTCAGGGACCTGCAGCTCCTCGGTGTTTAAGGAGTGGGCTGCTCACCAAACAGACTGCAGGTTGCATCTGCAAATGCAGGTGTGTTTAGAGCCAGAGGAGGCTGTTTCAGCTTGGGACTTGATCTGCAGAGCAAGCAGTGTCAGCTACATAGATGTTCCATCTTGAAAAGAATGGCTTTAGTCTGTCCTGCCTGATGCACATAACTGCATTTTAATTCTCTTTATGAGAGCCAAGAGCAGTTGGCAGCTGGCAGCATTTCCAGATAGTGTGTGTGACCCTCTTGGGTCACCTCCATCTGCATGCAGTCTCCTACCTCCTCTTCTTGGATACATTTTGTGTTTGAACAAGGTTAAACAAGGATGAACAAGGAGCTACTTAGCAAACTCTAGCATAAAAAGGAGACCTACAGAGGGTGGAAGCAAGGATGGATAGGTTGGGAAAAATACAGAGAAATAGTCAGAGCAGCCAGGGATCGGGTTAGGAAAGCTAAAGCCCTGACAGAACTTAATCTGACCAAGGACATTAAAGGCAACAAGAAAAACTCCTATAGGTATGTCAATGATAAAAAGAGGACAAGGAAGAGTGTCCGAGTGTCCCCCTTCCCCCCCCCCCCGAAGGAAATGGAAGACCAAGTTACCTAGGGCATGGAGAAGGCTGAGGTACTCAGTGGCTTTTGTCCTTGGTCTTCACTTGGCAAGAGCTCCAGCCACCTGCCCAAGTGACAGAAGGCAGAGACTGGGAGAATGAGGAACCACCCACTGTAGGAGAAGATGAGGTTGGGGATCATCTATGGAACCTGAAGGTGCAGAAATCTATCGGACCTGAATGATATGCATCTGTGGGTCATCAGGGAGCTGGCAGATGAAGCAGCCAAGCCATTATGCATCATATTTGAGAATTCATGGCTGTCTGGTGAAGTTCCCACTGACTGGAAAGGGGGAAATATAACCCCCCTTTTTAAAAACGTGAGAAAAAAAAAAATTGGGCCCAGGGAACTACAGGTTGGTCATTCTCACCTCAGTGCCCAGTAAGACCATAGTGCAGATCCTCCTGGAACTATGCTAAGGTGCATGAACAAGAAGGTGATTGGTGACCGCCAACATGGTTTCACTAAGGGCAAGTCACGCCTGACAAATTTGCTGGCCTGCTGTGATGTGGTGATAGCATCAGCAGATAAAGGAAGAGTGACTGATGTCATCTACCTGGACTTGTGCAAGGTATGTGGCACTGTCCTGCATGTTATCCTTTTATCTAAACTGGAGAGGCATGGATTTTACTGATGGACTACTCAGTTGATAAGGAGCTGGCTAAATGGTTGAACTCAAAGAGTTGTGGTCAACAGCTTGGTGTCCAAGTCAAGACAGTGGAGATTAGTGACAAGTGGTGTTCCTCATGAATCAGTCTTGGGACCAGAGCTGTTAACATCTTTGTTGGTGGCATGGACAGTGGGATTGAGTGCACCCTCAGCAAGTTTGCCAGTGGCATCAAGCTGTGTGGCGTGGTCAACATGCTGGAGGGAAGGAATGCCATCCAGAGGGACTTTGACAGGCTCACAAGATGGGCCAATGCCAACCTCTTGTAGTTCAACAGGGCCAAGTGCAAAGTCCTGCACCTGGGTTGGGGAAATCCCAAACAAAAATGCAGGCTGAGCAGAGACTGGATTGAGAGCAGCCCTGAGGAGAAAGACTTGGGGTGTTGGTTGATTGAGAAGCCATGACCCATGCACATGACCCATCAGTGTGCGCTCGCAGCCCAGAAACCAACCATATCCTGGGCTGCATCAAAAGGAGCGTGACCAGCAGGTCAAGGGAGGTGATCCTGCCCCTCTACTTCGTTCTCCTGAGACCCCAACCTTCAGTACTGTGTCCAGCTCTGGGGGCCATGAAGATAATCAGGGGACTGGAGCACCTCTCGTATAAACACA